CCTTCCTTCCTTCCTTCCTCCCTCCCTCCCTTCCTCCCTTCCTTCTTAATGTTGTGGTGTGGCACTATGTGGTGAAATGCACGTCTAGGCCCACACCACACACCTCCAGGACTTAGTTCCTTCAGTTCATATCTCTGAACATACCAGAGGTTGGAAAAGATGGTAAAGCCAGTAAACAAAACAAAGGCTATTTGTTTTTAGGATGTATTTGTAACTCCATCTTGAGTAGTTCCATATACTGAAAGCCCAAGAGCTTACCATTTCCTCTTAATTATACAAAACAAAGCACTGAGGGGGAATTAGTAGTTAAAAAATAAATCTTTGCATTCTATTACTTAATTGTGACTTGAGGCCTTTACAGTCCGCTCCAGGAGATTGTTCCACATTCCCACAAAGGCCCAAAGGGATTCTGATTTCCTAAAAGCAACTGTTGTTAATTCCACTAGGATTTCCAGTCTCTGCTCCTAGAAACCACATCCATTTTGAAACTATTTGCCAAGATAACTGTGAGATATATTGTTGTTACTCCATACTTTGATTAAACCACATGTAGATATAGTAACAATTAGAAGAGAACATTCATATCAAGGCTTTCGAACAGTGCCAGAGAAAATCCTCTGTAAGTAACAGACATTCATTAACACTCCTCTTACACCACGGACCCAGGAACAAAAGTTAATTTGGAATCGCTCACATCTCTAAAGATGAATACCCAAAGGCAGAACTATGTTTTCTACCGCTATGCTACTTTATACCCAGAATGGAATAATAACTTCCATGGTCTTGTCTTTTTTGAGCAGCCCGGTTGTACCAGTGATGTGGAATGATGGGCATGTGGGAAGCGGGCAGCCAACTTGCCTCAAAAGACTCCCACTTACATAGAAATAAACTAGAGAGGAGACAAGAATAATGTTTTCAACCATGGGCAGCCTGTGGCTTTGGAGTAGTACGTCCTAGAAGATGCCATGGCATTTTCCTTTGCCATATACTGGCAAAGGAATTTAAGTAAGCAGAAAGAGAGAGCTTTCATTTGAAAGCAGCCAGTCAACACCCTAAGTTCTCATGGCCCCTGCAGAAAAGCCAACTGGATTATGTCTTTCAACTTAACTATTCCAAGGTATAATATGCCTGTTGCAACTGGATATCACCTATTCCACAACATCTCCCAGGAACCCACCTCAGGGATTCAATTACCCAAACCCAGAAATTTCCCATATAGCTACAAGTACACAAAAATGCCAGTTCTATTGGATTTTAAATTGTGAGAGTTTTCTATTCTTGACCTTTTTTTTTCCTTATCCCTCTCTGAAAAAAAAATATTAAATAAGTTTTAGGAAAGAAAATCTTTCAAAGAGAACAGCATGAGCCATGAAAGGCCAGGTTATTTCCCCTCATATGGAACCACTGGTAGTTTCTATCTTCCTGTTGTGTCTTCCTTTTCAAGACTCATTTGGGATCAGCAGCAGTGTTCAAAAACAACTGTGTCCAAAATGGGAAAAGGAGGCGCAACCGGGGAAACAGAAAACAGACTTCTCTAACGGCACAGCATCCTGCCGTCTCCAGGCAGCCTTCTGTTTAGGATCTGTCAGATATACCACAGGCACCCTATTACTTTGTAATCAGAGGATTGTTACTTGTTATCTACTATTTGGCTTGTACCCTCTGAAAAGTTTAGAAGGGTTTATTAGCCTGCTGTGGAACACGTATTCTGTTTATCCTGCAGTAAATTTAATCTTCTGAAGTGTGCCACCACTGAGCAAAGAAGACAGAACAATGCCTGTCTTTACTGGGGCTGGAGTCCCAGAAGCAGCACACCCACCTTTTCAAACCATTTTGCTCACAATTGTTCTTGTGGGCTTTCCTGAGGAAGGCTTGAGGAGAGGCAGTTACTATGAAACAGGAATCCCGTGCCATGGAACGGGTTTGGAGCCTCAGTCTGAGAGTCCGCCCAAAACTGTGCACACTGTTGGGAACAGAAACAACACCCCCTACACATGGGTGTGTTTCGTTCCCCTTCCTTCTTTCTTTTTTTTTTCCCTGACAAATGCTACTGAGTATTTATAAAATTCAACTGCAGTTCTTCCTCAGAGCAGTGAAAAAGCAAATTTTGGAGGAAGCTCACCTTCTCCACACTGCTCATTGCCTGGAAATAGATGTTGTATCCTTTGCGTGGAGCCAAAGGAGGGTTCCAAAAGCCCTGATAGGTCCTATTGTCACCCACTGTGAATGGGGCAGGTTCAGGAAGATTCCCTGGGGGCAGTTCTGCAGCGAAGTAGTATGGTGCACCCCCGCTCAGGGCATTTTGGTATGTAACAGGGACTTGGTAGCATTCCATTGCTCCAGCTTCTCTCTTGGTTCGGTGTGGGTGCAACTCCTCCACAACAATCTGATAGGCACTTTTTGGAAAAAGAAAAAAAAAAAAAAGGACACATTTAGAGATTCTACATACTAAGATTTCTCAAAAAAAAAGAGGTATTTAATATTTTTAAAAATTTTTTATTGTTATGTTAATCACCACACATTACATCATTAGTTTTTAATGCAGTATTCCATGATTCGTTGTTTGTGCATAATACCCAGTGCTCCAAGAGGTATTTAATATTAACATGCAACATTTCAAAGTCTTTAAGGTCAGTCTTAACCCACTGCATGCACTGCATGTTTTTTTTCCAGCTATTTTGCAATAAAATAGAATTTCATGTGGATTCTCCTTCCCCCCAACTCAACGTAGGTACTAAGGAACTGGAAAAAAGTAAGAAAAATCACCACAGAAGTCTACACATTTTTTAATGTTGAGAAATGAGCCACCTCAATAACGAGAGACAAGTACTAAAGTTCTTTGTCTGATATTTTTCAATGTTTAAAGTTAACATTTTCCTTTGAGATGATAGTACAAAAGGCCCTGGTCTGAGGCCCAACAGAATGAGTGCCTCAGGGTGGGGCTCAAAGCACCAGTGTGGGGTTGTCATCACATTAGAGACAGAATGTGCTGACAGGCTTCCCCACCTCCTGACCTTGCCACGGCATCAACACCGGCTCAGTTATGCAGATAGAAAGAGCGAGTGGCATGCGGCAATGCGGGCACAGATGGACAGAAATCTGTCCTCGCCACTGAAATAGACTGCTTCCTTCTTCTAGCGTTGTTAATAATAAAATGGTACAAATTGTAGAAACAGATGGCATTTGCCCTATTAAAGCTTGAACCTAAACCTTCTAATACCTTTCTTAAAAGTCTTAAAACTTCTCTACAATAGCTATTATTTTACAGAGGAAATCAAAGAAAAAATAACGCAACTTTAAAATGAAAGTCTGCCTAATCACTAATTTTTTTTTTTTTTTTACCAATTGCTGAAACTGGTATATTAATATTATTCTTTCTTTGCAGTATATTCTTCAGGCAAACTTTTCTTAGGTAATGTACACCTGAGAAAGTTGGCATTCTTAATATATTTTATGTTTTTAATGAATTTAAAAATCCCTGAAAATCAAGAAAAAATGCATTGTGGTCGCTTATGTAAATTGAATAGAAATAAGCTGTATGTAGGGCTAGGCAAATATGTTCATTCTATATAGGGACAACAGTCACTGAATGACTCTCCAACAGGAATAGAATCTTTTCTTTAATGAACTTCTATAAAGAGAAAGAGGAGGGAGAGAGACAGAGAGAGGAGAGAGACAGACGGACACACCAAAAGAGAGACAGAGAGAGAAAAAACTGAATTTGCATTTATGATAATTAAAAATAAAATTTCATATCGCTTTAGAATCTGGTTTAAAATTCTAACTTAATATAAACTCTCTTATACCTACAAACAGAAGACTTTCATAGATTAAAAGAAAGAAGTTTATATAAAGGTTTTCTTTTCTTCCTAATATTTCAAGTTCCCATATTCCATTCAAATATTGCTAAGAACTTGGTAGTCTGCTATCTATCTCCTTTCCCTTAGATATAGGACAGAAATTGTATTAATGTCAGAAATCTAGATTTGGGCAAGCAACCAAGGCAGAAGGCTGTGTTATCTGAAATCATGTCTAGTCCATCATTCTCTGTACTTCTGCCAAGTTGGGTCCATAAGCTCCTAGGAATGCTACTGACAGGATACATGCTCTTTGAAGGGTCCATGGAGCAGGCGATTGTCAAATTTAAAATGAAACAGGGGCGCCTGGGTGGCTCAGTCGGTTGGGCCTCTGACTCCTGAGTTGTGAGGTTGAGCCCCGCAATCAGGCTCCATGCTGGGTGGGGAGTCTGCTTGAAAGATTCTCTCCCTCTGCCCCTTCCCCCGCTCGTGCCTGCTCTCTCCCTCTTTCTCTAGCTCTCTAAAAATAAGTAAATAAATCTTTAAAAAAATAAAATAAAATACAGGAAATACGTAAGCAAAGCTCTGGTAGAGAAACAGGAATCATAGCTGACATACGCTGTGATAAGCAAACCTTATCTTTTTTCTGTTTATTTTCAACTTAGAATCCATATTTGTATGTTACACGGCTGCATATCCTGTGGATACATACTCTTAGGCAGACAAGCACACACAGGCACCCTCCCCAAGCAAGTCTAACATCATATTCTTACCCTAGTGGGCAATAATGATAATTACTCTTACTTCTTAATTATTTAACCTAATCCTTAAAAAATAAATTCCTCATCCATGATCCCATATCTCTAGAAAAATCCAGAAAACCTAGTAAATAGTCTTAACGAATTCTTTTACATTGACATAGGTTGCATATTCCAAATTAAGGAACTTCGTCCAAAACAGCTTGTCTCTACACATCTATTAGGAGCAAGCAAAGCAAACTGACGATGCTGGGGAGGATTAAAAGAAGAAAAGGTGCAATCTGGTCTTGGGGAAAGATCTCACTGAATTTGAGATGGAACCCCAAACTAAAAATTATAAAATTCATTTTTTTAAAGAAATTATCTTCCCTTCATTGATCAATCTGTGTGAGCAGGCTGTTGTCCAACCACACACTTGTACTTTTTTAAAGTCTGTTTTCTTCCCTGTTACTTTCTTATTTATCAATACAAATTAACTAGGACAGAAAATAAGGAATGAGAAATCAAATTAGAAGTGATCTGACTGATTACATGAAATGGGCCTGTGCTTTTCCACCCTTGTGGTTGTCTAATTACCGAACGGTACTTAACTCTAGCTGGATCTAAATATTGTTTGAGCTTCGTACTCCAGCAATTTAAAATATCCCAAAGCCACCTAAATAGTTGTATTCACTCTGCCCATATTTCATATTTCCCCATTCCCTTTAAAGTTGTAAAATATTTCTATAATTAAGTAAAAATCAATATACTGGCATGATGAATCTTCACTCGATGCTGAAAATACGATTTCCTTATGTTAAAAAACTAAAAATGATTTCACTTCACTATACTTTAATTTGATTAGACATTGGTATCTAGTCATTTTTAGATTTTTGGGAGGCCAAATGATGACTTCTCATCATACAATTTTCTTTCAGTTACAAGACTGTAAAAAAATACATAAGGGGATTTTGCCATTATCTCAAAAAGTGATTATAAGATACATATCGTAGACAGCCTGCTTGGTTTCATGCTTAAAATTGTTGAAACTTGAAACCAAAATTACCTACAACAGCCTACTATGTTTTATGTTGTTGTTGTTGCTTTTTTTTTTTTTTTAACCTGTAAGTAAAACCTTTGAGAATCTGGTCTTAATTTTAGGTAGTGCAACTTCTTAGTGATAGCAAATAATGAATTATACAATTGTACACTCTCATTTTGTATCTAAAATGTCTCCTTAAAGCTTGAGGAGAAATTTCCTAGCTCCCGTGTTTTGCTATTTTTCTAATGAACAGACTTCCCAAGATCTCACAGCCACTGTTGCTCATAGGGCCCTAATGCAAACATTTTCAGGATCTACAGAGTAAAGGCTTAAACATCGTTTTGGTGACCATGATATTCCCTGTGCTTCATCTCTTTACTCCTTAAACACACAAGCCATGTCCCTCAGGGCCTCCTTATTTCTGTAAGAGGAAGGATCAGTTTCTGAATCAACAAAGCTCAAAATCCTGGCATTAACTTTAATAAGTTCTATTTTTAACCATGCTCTACCTCCCTTGCAATATACCATTTCTTTTCATTCCCACTGCTTCCATCATTAGGGGAGTATTTACAACTTTATATTCATATTACTCATTTAGTTTTCTTGCCCCCATTTTCTTCTTCATGTACTCCAGGCACCCATCCATCCATCCAAACTTCTAACCATCCGTTTACCTAACCACCCATCACTCCATCTATTCTGTCTTTTTTGAGTATTCTCTAAATGCCATGAACCGTTCATAGAGAATGTAAAAGAGAACCATTTTCCAAACTGTTGATACTTTCCTAAGCCAGCACTTTGAGTATTAACTACTCTTCTCTAACTTTTCACTTTGTCAAAACTATGTGGAGCCCTCCCATGTCAAAATCTATACTTTTTACACTAGGGTTAATATCTTACCACATCTCTTACTTTATCCCTCCACTCTTGCTCTCACTAGCTCCTGCTGTATGTTCTCCATTTCAAATTTGAATGACCATTGTTACTAAACATACCAAACATTCTGTCAAGAGTTTCTAGTTTTTCTACTTCTGCTATAAAACCTTCTCTGACTAGTTCACTTAGTGTTACTCTGTCTTCTAATGCCAATGGAGGTAATTCTAAAGGTGGAAGTAGGTAACAGAGGGATGAAGGTGGGGTAGAAGTTAGAGTCAAGTGAGATGCATTTTCAATTTAGTCCTCAATCCACCCACAAATTATAATGACACGGATACGTTGAGGAAAACCATTTGGGGTACCTCTCAGGAATTCTGGGTTTGAAAAAGGCCCTAAACCACTGTCTTATAATATTTATTGTGCTTATCACTGACATGTTACATTATAAATATTATCTGGTATTTAGCTAAAGATAGCTGACTATCGTATTTTTAACTCTAGTGCCCATTCATTCATTCGTCAAATATCTACTGAGTGTCTATTATATGCCATGTACTATTTTAAGTGCTGAGGTTAGGGTAATGAACACAATAGTAAAAGTCTCTGCTCTCATGAAGTTTACATTCTAGTGGGAAATACAAATAAATGAATTTTAAAAAACTACACGATATGTCAAGATAAGTGCTCTAAGAGAAAACTAAAGCAGGATAAGGGAAATAAGGAATAACAGGATTGAACATGTCTATTTGATATGCAGTGGTCAAGAAAGACCTATGTGATAAAGTGCCCTTTAAGGAGAGACCTGAAGAGAAGGTTTCAGCTATATGGGTATTCCATCAGTTATCTCCTCCTGCAAAATAAATTACCCTAGAACTGTGGCTCAAAACAATAAACATTTAATACTGCATGGTTTTTGTGGGTTAGAACTTTGGGAATGGCTTAGC